CCCCAAAACCCCAAAACCCCAAAACCCCAAAACCCCAAAACCCCACACTAATAATATCATATTGAAATCCTAGTATGAAATTGTAGGATTATTTGTAAACTATCACGTGTGGTGATACAAGACTAGGAATCAAACTTTATTGAATATCGCTTAGAGTTTAAGTCTATTGCTCCTCTTCGTCAAGTGCTGGGATTGGACTCCTTCAGAACGGACATTCTAGCTTACGTCTCATCCAAGATTTAAGACAAGTTGGGTGATACTTGTGACCACATGGAGTCTTCATGTAGAGATGAGGGTTAGGATCAGTCGTCCTTCTGAAAAATCTTGAAAGTCCTCTTCTCGACTGGGTTTCAGAAGAAGTGTCTCAATCTTCTCTAAAACATAGGGGGTTCAAACAAATTCAGCAGTTGTTTTCACCATCGGCATTGTTGCCTTCTTCTAAGTCTTCGCTAAAACTTTTGTAGTAATTGTATTCGCTCCAGAATCTTAGGAATCTTGGAATGAAAAACCTTGAGCCTCACTTGCGTTGTATCAGCAGAACTAGAAGCTGGAACCCTACATAGCAGCTGAAGTATATCGCCCATTGGTAATTTGGTTGCAATTCCATTACATTCGAAGGACACCCTTTGATGTACAGAGCAAAGAATCACTGGGTAGTCACCATGGTCACTGCGAAAAGCAAGTTTGGAGTGCTCCTTGACTTGTTGATCGCATTCTCGATGATTTGCGGGAAAAGCGTAGATCCACACAATAAAAACAATGTAATGTCGCTTCCAATGATTCTTTCGAGAGTTAACAAGCTCATGAGAGCAATCAAGTAAAACTTAATGTAGAAAGTGATGAGAGCTCTTCTGACTGCCTCGTTACCCTGAGAAAACAAGTCCATGTTTTTGGCTTTCCATCAAATAAGAAGCAGCTTTAGTTCGAAGATGAATCACAAAATGAAGTACATTCATGCTAAAATGGCGAAATATCCATAATCTTGTAGCTGGAGAGCGTAGCTCAGGTATATGTTGAATAAGCAGAAATTCCAAATTGTGTTCCATGAAAGAGTCGTCATCGACATCTTAACAGCAATACCTTGGTTCTGCTCTACTTCGAATGACTGTTTGCTGATTACATAGCAATATCCGATGAGTAGCAAAGACAAGACAATGACATAATTGAAGACTCTTCTCTTAGATACTGCAAATGAGTTTGGATACTGTAGATCAAAAGTCATCTTCTCAGGAAAACAAGACCCGTCAGAAGTCAAGACGACTTTGCTGGTGATGCTTCCCTTGAGACCTAAAGTGAAGTTAGCGTTGATATCAGCCTGTCAGGTGTGATCCTGAGTGATCGAATATAATCTGCCATATGATATTTCTACATTAGTGTTCTTGTGATCAAGAGTAAAAGTGCTTTGATTCTGAGTCATAAACTTTTCATCGAATGACACTTTAAGATAGACCACTTGGTCTCTGTAATCACCGTCATAGAGAGTGCAGTCAAGCTTAAAAGTAGGAAAAGTAGTGCTGTCTTTGTGGTAGTCTAACTTGGACTTTACTATTCCTCCAATATTGTTCAAGTTGGAACTAATCTTAGATCTGTCTTTGTGCTCACTGATGCTCCATCTACCTCCAAATTTCTTTGACTCTATTGACTTCATCTTGTCGTGTATCTCTTGAGAAGAAAGCAGCTTCACATTTCCTTGCTTAATCTGATCATTCTGGTCAGTCTGCTCAGTTTGTCTACATCAAATTAGTAATGAGAATTATACAGGTGCACATGAAATCCTAGTCAGATCCAAAATGATCAACTTCAGAATTGAAAAGAAACAGCTAATTCTAATTCTACACTGAGTTTACAAGGAAGCAGCAACTAATTAATGGAACGCCTTGGGACTTTAACTTTGAGAAGCTAGCTATTGTGAAATATCCAAACTGTGGCTTACTCTCCTTCACTATCATCTCAATTCTTCTCTCATTTCGTGTTGTTTTCTGAGGCATTCTGAGGGTCTGGAGATAAACTTCTGGAGGTGTCTTGGTTCCATTCTTGGCTACTTCCTGGATAAAGGCTGACAGGACCTATACTCATTGTAAACACCAGACTTGAGAATGAATTAACAAGTTTTTCTTAAAGGATCTAGTAATTGCTGATTAGGAACACCAATGACTTTAGAGTACAGCAGAATTGGTGTTGTTTCTAAGTTTAGAACGAAGGCAAAACCACTGGTCACAAAATGCTCTTTAGAGCTATGACTAGGCAAAGGCTATTGTCAATATAGCAGATGAAGTTTAGAATTAGAGCAAACTCAGCAGTGCTTGAAAAATATGTTAGTTTTCTGCTCATATCCTGAGTAAGATCAACTCTAATTCTAATTTCTGTACAAGGCTTTATTGCTAGGAGTTCAAGGACCATGAATAGTCTAAGAATGTTTAATATTTACCCTCTGTGTTGATCCTGCCAAACTAGTGCTTCAATAAAATTATAGGAGTCGCAAAAATATCAAAATTTCATTTTCTGACAAAAATATCAGATAAGCTAGATACAATGATTGCAAAGAGATTTTTGATTTAACTCCGGAGTAAAGTTAGAATCCTTTTCTCACTAAGAATCTAGTAAATATTCTTTCATGAGGCTCCATGGTCAAAATATTTTGCCTCTATTATATCAAAAGTCAAGGATCCTCCAAGATCAAATCCTCTCCATTTGGAAATGTTGAAGATATTTTAGTGTATGACTCTCATTTCGAACTAACAAAATTGTAAATAGCAAATAATGTAGACCTTCTTTGTCCAGAATATTGCTTATGAGATATAGTGGAATTCTTTAATAATTATGGTATCTCCAATATCAAAAGTTGAAAAGAAGCCAAGAATAGATTCTCTCAACTAAATAAGTGCTCATATAATTTTTGAGTAGCTCCATTATAGTTCAATTGACGCTCCAAAAATAAAAAAAGTTTGAAATCATCACACCAAAACATCTTGGGCTCTATGTAACACCCTAAGCCTTCCCTATTCTCACAAATTTCATTGTAAAGTGATAAAATAAAAGATGGAATAATACAAATAGAAAGATTCAAAAACTTTAAGAGGTTATACAACAAGATATTAGCGATTTGCTTACTTTTGATTGTGATGCCATGAATATACATGAAAAAATGATTTCTCAGTATATTTACTCCAAGGACTCCAATGCTTAGCATCAGTAGGCCTCCCATCAGAACTAACTTGTATTTTTCAAACATGTTCTTGTTTATTTATTATTTACCTCAACTCCAGATTTTTTATTTGGGGTTTTGGGGTTTTGGGGTTTTGGGG